GCGCCGGCCGCTCCCCAACCCCCAGCCGCACCCTGCCTGGTCCGCTCTGCAGCGGGTCTGCGGGGCTAGGCCGGCTCGCTGTCCCTCATACCACCCCTAAGCCCGGAGGCACAGGCCCTGGGCGCCGCCACCCCGCTTCAGCCGCCTGGGGTGTTCGGGTGGGGCGCGGGGAGCCGGTTTTCCAGGCCCGGGCTCGCGTGACCTTGGGTAAGTCCCAGTCCCCCTCGGCCTTGGTTTCCCTTTTGCGCAGCGAATAGGATGGAGATGAGTAACTGTAGGAACCCATTTCTTTTCTAGCGTTCTGGGGTCTTTTGAACCAGGAACCTGCGTGAGGTGGACATCCCAGCCCTCTGCCTCAAGAGACAGCCCACCCACCTGCGAGCGCCCATGTGCCGCCTTCCCCAGGAGAGGGCGGCAGAGGCTGCAGCAGGGCGGATCCTACCCTGGACGCGCGGGTCCTGCCTCTCGCGCTGCAAGAAGTAGGAGAGAGCAAGTCTGGAGGGTCAGGCGTGGAGTGGCTGGGCCTGGGTCGGATCCCCAGCCCAGGGCTTTTCATTGATCTGGCGGGCCCAGCCTGGCAACTGCTGCAGCCCTTACAGGACGTATACACAAGCATTTTGATGGGGGAAACTGCATACCTTCCCTAGGGTTCTAGGGACCATGACCCCAAAAAAGTTAAGAGCCAGTGACCTGACCCCACTCTCACCCCCCCAGTTTACAAATGAGGAAAACTGAGGCCTGAGAGGGTGTGCCTTGCCGGGTCCTCTCGCCTAGTGAGTCAGGGCTGGAACCAGCACCTGGGCTCTTTGCCCTTCACCAGTCAGCATTTATTTATGAGTCCAATCTCCGCTGCTCTTCGCACAGCAGAGCCCCATAACTAAGGCAGACCAGCCCTGCTGGGAAGGGATCCCTTCAGGGCCACCCCACTTACAAATAGGAGTTCATGTGAGGTGCTGGGCAGGGTGTTCCTAGTGAGGACAAAGGTCTAGAGGATGGGGGAACATATGCCAACAAGGGGAGGAGGCGATGTGCTGGAGAGGTAATAAAGGCTGCCTGACCCCTCACAGCCCTAACATTTTTGTTCTTCAAAACACACTTATGGGGACCAGCAGTTAGTGTGGTGGTTAAGGGCACTGGACCCCCACATGGCCAACTGTGGTTCGAGTCCCGGATCTGGTGGCTTGCTTTCTCACTTTCCCTCTCTGTCCCTCTATGGTCATATTTAAATAAATTATGGGGCTGGCAGGTGGCATGGTGCTTAAAGGCACTGGACTCCCACCTGGGCCACCTGTGGTTTGAGTCCCGGACCTGGAGGCTTGCTTTCTCTCTTTTTCTCACTCTCACTCTTGTTCTGTCCCTCTCTGTGGCCAAATGTAAATAAATAAATAAATAAATAAATTCTTAAAAAAAAAATACTTGAGGAATAAAAAGACATAGGCTAGGAGGAAATATTTGCAAAAACCACATCTTATATAGGACTTAGAACTTGCATAATAAACTTTTTTTTTTTAAGTTTTGTTGTTGGGCACTTTCACTCACCAGAGACAGAGAGATAGAGAGACAGAGAGTAAGAAACCACTTCTCAGAGGGGATGGCCGTTGCTTCGATCCTTCTCCATCCTCCTCTTGGGATTTTGAGCATATATGTGTGTGCGCACACACACACACCCAGCATGATTTCAAACTGCCAGTCCAGAACTCAAACCATTCAGTCAGCCGTGTGAGATACAGCCACCCCAGCCTCCACACTACTGGCTAGCCCCTGTGTAACAGACTTTTATGGGCCTAGTGGTTAAGGTGGATGAATTCCACCTGACTGACTGTGTGGTTGGAGTCCCAGACCTGGCTGTTTGAAAAACACGTAGGGCAAGCATATGCATACATGCCAAAAATCCTGAAAGAAGGGAGAGATGGAGGAGAGGGGATTACAGCGTGACCACGCACTATCAGGGGTGTTTTTCACTTTACCTCTTTTTCTCTGTCTCCAGCGAGGGCACTAGCCCTCTACCAAAAAAAGAAAAAGAAAATAATAATTTTTTAATTTAATTTTATTCATTGTTATTATTTATTTTATTTTATTTTATTTTATTTTATTTTATTTTATTTTATTTTATTTTTTGAAGTTAACCAGAGAGAGTCAAAGAAAGAGAAGGAAAATGAGAAAGCAAACTGCTAGATCCAGGACTTGAACTGCGGTCAGCCATGTGGCAGTCCAGCCGCCTTAGCTACCGTGCTACCTGCTGGCCCCCATTCCAGCAAAATTTAAACAACAAAACAAACAAGTAAAAAAACTTTTATAACTTAAAAATATATAAGTAGGTAAAACATTTCAACAGACATCCAAGAAAATATATGGGTGGCAAAAATGTATGTTAAAAAACCCTACTTGTCAGGGGGGTGGCAGGTGGCATGATGGTTAAGGCACTAGATTTCCTCATGGCTGTTCAAGTCCTGGACTTGGCAGCTTGCTTTCTCACTTTCCCTCTCTCTGTGTCTCTTTCTGGTCAAATTAAGAAATAATAATAACAGGGAACAGC